TAATTCTGGAGGTACATTTACACATAAAGGTAAGAACTAAAATGAGTTAGATTATCTAACTCCGGGTTAGTTCAGATTTATTTCAATAGTAAATTAAGTTTGAACTTGATTTGTTAATAAATGAACAGTTTTTTTTTTGTTCAACTTTGATTCACCCTAGCTAATTCATGAGTTTTTAAACTCTACGAGTTAGACTCTAATTTAATACCAATTTTTTATATAATTAAAATATAAAATATTTAAGAAAGAAAAATAAAATTAAATACATATACATTTAAATATATATATATATCTATATATTATATAATTTTAATTTAAGTGTGGTAAAGATTAAAAATTTCTTCAAAATTATTTGGATTTATTGTAAAATTGATGGAGAATATAAGACAAGTGAAATACGAGAGAAAGAAAAATAAAAAATAGAGATGAAAGCAAAGGAAGATAGATATTGAAAGATAGTGAGAGTATGTACAAAAAAAGAAAGAAAGAAAGATAGTGAGAGTATGAAAATATTACTATATTCTGAATTCATCATCAAACACATTTTTTTCATCTAAGTATAACAAGGGAAATAATTGCAATTCAACACATTATTAATGTGGTGATTATAAAATATATCAGAAGTAATGGAAATATAAAGAGTCATATATTATGTTTTAAAACAGGATTGAATTTTTAACTTTAAATTCAAACAACTATTTTTAGCTACAGTAACCGACAGCTTTACCTATTAAGTATCACTTTGTAACACTCGAGAGTCCATACAATACAACCATCACGGTCACGGACGAGATTCATTATAGTTTACAAATGCCATCACGTGCATATATATAGTGTAGATCAGTACTCACAGTCTCTCTTGTTTCCCTTTTGTCAAAAGAATGAAAAATAAATAAATAAATAAAAGAAATGGATCCCTATATTTCTCTATTTGGAAAATGGGATAACAAGTTATTTGAGTTGGGTTTCTAGGAAAGAGAAACGGAGAGAAGAGGAATAAGCTTGTGAAGTGTCATTTATCAAAGTTGCTTTCACTACGAATAAGCAGATTAATTATAGTACGAAATGTCTGTTTAGTTGTTTTCACTGCCAAAAGCTATAAAAACTCCCAATTCATAGACACACACGTGCTAGGTAGCTGCAATTGTCAGACCTTCTCTCTAGTCTCTGAAATGCTCTCAACTATTCTTAACTTCAACAAGCAAGAGCAAGTTATATACTACAAATTAATTACATTCTCCATAATGCCATAACCACCCAAATAAATAAAAGGAAACTTGTAATTTCTAAAGCACAGAACATAGCTGAATTCCTACAATAAATACGCAATAAAAGGAAACACAAAAGCACACACATCATGCATGCCCATGGGAGACCTCTCTCTCTATAACAGGGATGTATAGAGCCAGAAATCAGGCCTTGCCAAACACTAACTATTTCACGTTAATGAATATCATCGCATGAACCAACTACTTCCCCTTCATGGTAAACAACAATATTAGGTTTTTTTGTCCATCTAAAGTAAAATACGCAGTTTAATTCTTTTGATAAATAATTTATTAATTTAATGTGAGAAAATATGCATCACCTTCATGTACAATTTATACAAAAATCATTGCAAAATACACATTATTCTGATGTGCGTTATTCCTCGTGCGCGTCTTGCAGCTTGATGCATGATATACAACACGTTAGCTTTTTGCATAAGTTGCGTATGAAATCATATGCGACTTGAACATGCAATATCGGAATGTGCATTTTTTCGCATTAAAATGGTAAATCTTAACCAAAAGAATTAAACTAATGAATAGTTATACGATTCAATTTATATGGGTAAAAACCACAATATTAATCATAAAAGTTATATGCTTACGACTGGAGTCGCTCAAAACGATAATTAAAAATGTTTTAATTGGATGAGATTATTTTCAGATTGATAATTTTAAAGTATATTCGTTTAAGGCACAGTAATTCTTTGACTTTGTTTCAAATTCCTACTACCCCTTTTACTTATAATTTATGCAAAAACTAAGTCAAAGTAAGTAATTTTATTTAAAAATAATTCTTATCTTGAATTCTTAATTTTATGCAATTATTAAATAAAAAAAGTTTCAAGTTTGGTCTATAATCTTAAATGAAATGAGAATCAATAGAATTCTATAAAATCTGGATAGTATGGTAGAAAGAAAGAATCAATAGTAGTTAAAATCTGGATAGTATGATAGAAAGAAAGAATCAATAGTAGTTAAAATTAACAAGATTACCAAAAAAAATATATATTCTAAATTAACATAAATTACTTAAGAACTAAGAAGTATTTATAACAAAGAATGGTATAATTATAGACAAATCACAATTTTGATTAAATATAAATTTTCAAATAAAATCTAATAAAATTTAAAATCTCTAAAAAAATAAAAAAAAATTCTTAAATAAGAGATAATTTTAATTTTTCTAAAAATAACATAGTTAGTTATTCTTAAATGTATATTTTTCTATTTTGAATCACGGAACAGGAAAACTAAAATCAGTGTTGTTAAACCCGACTCGGGCATCAACCCGGTCGGGGTACTGGGTCACTGGTCGAACCGGTGGGTCACTGGTCAGACCAGTTGACCCGGATATATATAGATATATAAATATGAACATATAAATTAAATTATATTCTACATATTTAAAATGAATTAAACAAAGTTCACTAAATAAGATAAAAAAACGTGAAGCATTAATAAATAAAAATACACACTATTACTATATTAATTTAAATTGCAACTCATAATCTCCATAAACATACCTCTAAATGATATTGAACTCATATTTTTCAAATTCAACTACATTAAAATGACATATGTCAAATTCTCTAATTTATTATTCTGCAAATTGTTTCAGTATTGGAAACTAAAATTTGATGTCATTGTAGAAGGGTATACTAGCAAATAAAATTATAAAAAAAAAATTAAAATGAGTTCTAAATTTTGTCTGATAAGATGAAACAATTTTGATTTTTTTTTCTTTTGTTAATTGCATGACCCGACCGGATTTGTCCTGGTTTGAACAGGTTGATGCATGACCGGTCCAATGCTTGACTCGAACCGGTCAGTTCCAGGTCGACCCAGCCGGGTCGGGCCGAGTTACAGTGACTAAAATAATCTGTGATTTTTAGGCATACTTTGAGAGAGTGTAAGTCATGTACAAATTGGTTGGCGAATTTCATATTAGACTACGAAGCTCAGGAAGATTATCTTATTTGGCCGGAACCTCCTCTTAGTATCCAATTACTATTATTTGCTTATCTGTCAAACGTTGGAAGACCTCATGCTTTGAGTTGCAATAGTTAAATTTCTTTTTATGTTCTTTCTTTGTTTCGTGGGTTAGGTCTTTGTTTACCAAAAACCAAAAAAAAAAAAAAAGGCCTCCACTTTTTTATAATCATTAATATATCTTTATTCTAATTTAAGGTAGAAGAAAGTGAACCAATATAAGTCCAACCTATAATGGGAAAACTATTTGGAAGGGTATAGCTGAAATCCCTTCATATACAACAATGCCTCTGTTGTTTCTCTCTGCAGACTGCAAAGAATTGAATATGAAGTCAAAGGTGATATTTCATCAAATTTCCTTACAAAGATTAGTTGAAAAGTAGAGACTGTGACGTCGCCGTGTATTATGGAGGAACGGTCCATGTCATAATAAGGTGGCCAACACTGTTTTTGCATTACTAAAACCAGAAATAGTCTCGTCCTTCGAAACATAAGGAACATGTCCACATTTTTAGGTTCCTAGGTGACTGGGGTTCCCTCCCACTTTTGAAGGGTAATAGCTACAGCTAACATGGATATAACGTACCAAGAGTAAAAACAAAGACGCGTTAACTACGCCAATGATGTGACGTTGTACTCTCCCCTCTCTCTGTCACACTCACACTAAATTAATTCCCTTGTATTATATTCAATTTGATTCCGTGTGGTTAGTTGGTTTTTGGAAGTGTTAGGAAAAATGATGTTGAAAATAACAAAAGGGTTTGGAATTTATGGTGGGATAAGTAAGAGAGATACTCAATTTGTGTATATAAAGCTAATAAAATATTAATACATTATTAAACAAGAATATGTCAATGTTTTTTAGTGACATAGTTAAGTATGATAGATTTATACAAAAAATCTCTCCATAACTTAAGAAGGTTAATTCATTATTTTGTGCAGGTTTTATGTTAGGTGACTACTGTTAGTTCTCTGGAATATATGTAGCTGAAGTGACTTCTGATTGCCAGTATACTGTCAGTTTCTTTCACCACTTCAATACCTTACAGTTAAATATTTCCTCCTCTCTCTGATTCCTTTCTAAACTTGCAGTTTACTGGATGCATCAAATTTGTACGTGTAAACTGTACAATATTGTTGAGAATAGAAACAAAGAAAGATAATCATTAAACCCTTATTATTATTATTATTATAAATTTCCACTTGCGTTTTTTTAACAATTTTTTTTTTTTATTCCAAATTGAAAGCAATATATTCCATTTGTTCATCCTTCTTTGCCTCGCCCTTCATCGAAACCCTAGCTCAGAGATTTCATTTCCCATTAACAAATAATTTAAAGTTTAACAAATTTGATCACAATGAGGTCGAGACTGGAAGTTTAAATTTTCTTGGAAGTACTTTAGTAAAGTAGAATCTTCCTTTGTCATTTTAGCTTCATGCAGTTTACCTTACTGATCTCAGAGAGAAAAGAAAGAACCACTAAACATTCAAGAAAAAAAAAAGGGATAGTAACATGCCACGAGAGATAGAATTAGTGTATTCAAACATTTCAAGAAAGTAAACCTTATCATTACACTCAAGGCTTACTTAGGCGAACAAAGTGTTCTGTTGCCTTTTTTCCTATCAACCTAAAATGGAACCAAAGAAAAAGGAAAGGGGAGAGAGGGGAGGGATTGCAAGCAACAGTACTGAAAAGTGAAAACTACATAAAAACTTCACAAATTCTGTCTGTAATATAAACTACTTAACTTTCTGTTGTTTCCCTAGCCTGAGTTCAAGATCTAAATCTTCCATTACAGGATTAAGTCCAAGTACAATTTCTGCAGATTGGAAAGCCAAGTGTCGATCATTTGAACATGGCTTCAGGAAGATGGGCAGTGAAGAAATGCTAGTCTTTAGTCTTTTACAACTGTTGATGTCTTCATCCCCACAAGGAACGGTTGGTGATTTTTGGCCAAACATGGAAGTCAGTCCCACAGACAAACTTGTCTCAACATAATTATTACAACCCAAGCCAATAAAATTGTCTTTTCTTGCATTGACCACCCCTTCTGTTTGTGAATTAGGAGACCCTATTTTCTGTTCCCAAATAATTGAAGATGATAAAATAGGTGAGAGTCTGGTTGTTGTAATTGTAGTTGCAGGGCTAGAATAAGGATTAAGATGACAATCTACCTGGGAAGAGAAATGATTACCAAATGACTTGAGCAAATGATCATCTTTGTGATGATGATGATGATGATGATCAAGGGATTCATTATGAGGGCTAAGATTTTGTTTGAGCCTAGCCCTGTCCCTTCTGTGAACATTCATGTGACCTCCAAGAGCTTGAGCAGACCTAAACTCTCTTTTACAGAAATTACAAGAGTAAGATCTTGGAGGCCATATGCTACCACCAAGTATCCTAGCCGCGTCTTCTGCAAAAGCCCTTTCTTCCCATGAGTAATTGTTGCCATCTCCAACTGGTACTTCAAGGTGTGACTTCAGGATTTGTTTTCTCTTCATCCACATCAAGCACTGAGATCCCTCCATCATCACATGCAAAGAAAGCTGATCAGGGTATATAAGAGTATAAGAAACAGAAGCCTTAATTAATGTACAATGGGAAAAGTAAGCGAATGAAGTGAATATATATATATATATATATATATATAAATGGTGTAGGAGGTGCTTGTCCCAGTAATTATAATTGAAAGCAACTTAGGAATCCATAAGGGAAGAGAAATTGACTAGCTGTAAAGGACTGGTTATAAATTCTGCCTCTCTTTGGCTTTAATTTGTAGTGAAACTATTTTTCTTGGTTTTGGTACATAGGTGAGTGGGGTCCCATTTAAGCAAGTGTCTTGCACCGGATTTGATTCACACGTATGATGGAGATAACGGCATGTAGTAAGAAAATACAGCTAAACTTGATCCCTGAAGCTTCCATTAACCCTATACGGTAATAGTGTTGACTTATGCCATTTCTTTGTTTCTTTCGATAAATGCACTATATATGTAGTTATGTACGTCAAGTATAGAGTCATTTATAATTCTGATCCATTACAGTAACTAATCTGTTATTGTCCTTCTTTTTATCTTTTTATACTCTGATCTCAGTACCTTAAAAGTTTTTAAAATATGCAGTATTGAATAGCATGTTGCCAAGCAACTTGTAACTCAATTGCTTATTAATCTTTAAGATTTATGTGTGATATTGATATAATTTTTTTTATATAAAATAAATACTCGTTTCCATTGTTAATCTAATAAGGAAAAGAACTACAGGAATATGAGGGAATTTAATTGACTAAGGAATTTCCAAAGAGGAAAATAATAATAATCAGTTTTGCTCTTTGTATTGTTTGTGAATCGTGAAGCTCATTTGCAAAAACATAAAGTGCACAACGCAAATCAAGGTGTAGAAGTGAACCCTTTCTGTGTCGTCCATGAATAAATGGTATATTATTCATGCCTTAGCTAAGGGTCAAACCTTATTTGATAATCTCAAACATCTTTTTGCTTTTGCATGTGTTGCTCATAAACACTAACAGAATCTTGTGTAGGCTTTTCCTCCCATATGACGTTAACCTAATTACAACTCAAATTTATAAGTCAAACTAATGATAGATTAAATCACGCTCAGAATGGTCCAAATTACTTAGTTCTACCAATTAGTAAGAAACTCTCACCACTATGCAGAAAAAGTAGGTCCACCTAGGAAACTAAATAAAAATTTTGTTTGTACGTATCATTCGCACGCGTGAGTTATTATGGTGGTTTACAGAATTTAAGTTCTTTATTAATATTCAGTGACTGTATTTTCAAACAAATTTTAAAAAATCATTTAGAACAAATTGGCATTATGTTCTGCTTATTTTTTGGGTTTCAGTTTTTTTTTTAATAAAAAAAATTAATTTTTGGTGGACTTTTGTGGGGAGGAATATCATAGCAAACAAAGGGCTTATTTAAGAGCCATTTGATTGAATTAGTCAGAAGACTCAGAACATATCAGTTATGCTGACATAAAGCAAAGGAGCTACTCATGTATTTATGCTAATGTTCTTGTACATTTGGAACTCAAAGCCATTTAAGACACGACAAGTATATAATCTACTATCAAGATTGAAACCTTGTATAACAACATAATTTAAGACCACACTTATTTTACGAGAAAAACTCTCTCGAAAGATATACTTGCTACGAATTAATTTAATTTCTTATATATTAATTTCATACCTCGAAAACTCACATATTATTTACCTTTATTGTTTGAATGCATAAAGGATTCAAAAATTGAGAACTTAAACTTTAAGGAATCAAATTAGTAACACTAATTTATAAAGGAAAATTAACGAACATATTTTTTAAGAGTTAAAATAGAACGTTAATATTTGTATAGTGACGGAATTGCTATGAAAATTCCGTCGCTAATTTGATCCTTGCTATTATTTTTCGTCGCAAATTCCCTCGCAAACAATTTTGGGAGGGAATTTGTGACGGAAAGTAATAGTGACGATGAAATTAGCGACGGAATTTCTATAACAATTCCGTCACTATACAGGTTTTTTCTAGTAGTGTTCTTTTTAAATAATTTTATGGCTAGTCAGCTATGAAGATATAAAGACTATATTTAGATAAACTTCATGGATCGTACGTAGTTGGGACCATATCGAGCATATCATAATCAATGATATGTAGAAACTATAGTTAAAAGATAAAAAGTACAATGATTAATCTAGTAATCGACAATCAAATGCCTTTTCTTTTTCTTAAAGAATATTCTAAATTATTTTTAATAATCTTAGAATTAATTATAAGAAACATAAAAAAAAGTGTCATAATTTGTTGGTGGTGGAAAAGACGATCCAGTTTTTGTTCATCACAAAATTTCACTATGCAGATTATTTTGGAACCTATTTTTTAAAAAATAAAATAGGTGCCGTAGTCAAAGATGAATTGTAAATATATAATTTATTATTTATTGATTATATTCAATGAATATATAAACATTTACAGATAATATATAATTTGTCACTTATTGATTATATTTAATAAAATTTTAAATATTTATGATAAATTAATAGTTAATTATTTCAAGTAAAATATCCTCATCAGCTTAATTCGGGTTTTCGTCCCAACACAAAGGTAATCAAAAGCAGCATTTGAATTGAAATATAATCAATAAGAGATAAATTATCCAAATAAGTGTTGAATTGATAAATTTAACAATATGTGTCCAAATACCGTGTCAATGAACAAGAAAAATATAAAATGAACACCATTTCTAAAAAAGATTTAGAAAATATTGTCAAGATAATTGTAGACACATAATTCCAACGGCAAAGACAAGAATAGGACAGAAATGAATTATAATAAGATAGTAAGATGTCAAAGTCATTGACTCGTGAAATCTAAAATACCACTAATAAATTATACTGAAAGAGTGAAAGTGTCTTCAATCTCAACTTATGGAACGATAGTTGAAAATTATAAGTCCGGGAAGTCAATTTTGTACGCAATATATATATAAATTTGATTGCAAAACAAAAAGAGGATGGCTAGTGAATACGACGAATTATGAATGGTGTCCTATTTCATAAATAGAATAGTTAATAAGTCCGAGAAATCAATTAGTATAGATGCCTGCCTAATTGGACACAGTGGCGGATCTACGTATGTTTTAGTGTGTGCAAGTGCACACACAAATTTTTTGGAGAAAAATATATATATATATATTTTGGGTCATGAACAAAAGTCACAGAATTCAATTTAATCTCTTAAAAAAAAGTCGACTCGTGATTCTTTTAAAATTCAAAATAGACTCATGTTAGTCCTTTTGAGGGATTAATGTGGATCTTTTTGAATTTCAGAGGACCATGATTTTGATTATCTGAGTCTATTTTTGAATTCTGAGGAATCACGATTAGACTTTTTTTTTCCAAAGAGATTAAATTGAGGCCCATAATTTTTGTTGAGAACCCAAAATGTTCTATTGTAACAGTTTAGTTGACTCTTGATTACTTTTTTTATATTAAGTTAAAGTTTTTTTTTTATATATATTCTTTTGTATTTTAATATATTTAAATTTTTCTTTAAATTTTTTTTACTTTATTCTTTTATTCTAATTGTGCAGACATTAAAAAAAAGTCTAAGTCCACTATTGATTGGAGCGTGGAAGTCTGCAGGCTGTGTATAACATCAAGTTATAGTACGTGCTTTATGAATTAGTATTGGTCTAATGGTGAATCGATCGTTTAGATAGTTTGCATGAGGTTATAGATTCAAACCTTAATACCACCATTGTATTCAAAAAAAAAAAAAGAAAAAAAAATAAGTGATGTATATATGCATGTGTCGAACAATAATTTATTCCATGTGATACGATATTTGCTGATCAGGATCAGCCATAAAATGTAATATAAATTTTGTGGAAAGAGGAGTGAATTTTGGGTGAATGTAGGCATATCCTGCCCAAGAATACAAAAAAATTGGACATAAATGAAAAAGTAATTTAAAAGTTAGATTTAAATAGGAGGAAAAAATTCACTTTTAATAAAAAGATGTACCCATTACCCAAATTGGTACATCTGCTATACCTAAGAAATTTTCTACAAAGAGTGGGGGAGAGCATGAGATGACAGAAAAAAAAAAAGAAATAGAAAAGATTTTTAAAAACCATTATAAAATTTTTCAAAAATAAATTAGAGAAAAATGTTTCTGCAGTTAATGCAGATAAGTTATCTGCATTTATTCTCAAAATGACGTTGTTTTGGTATTGAAATCTTAACAAATTATAAATATAAAGACTATTATAACCCTGAAATAAATTAAAATTACAAAAATACCATAATTTCGGCCAAAAACGACGTCGTATTGGACTTACTGCAAATAAAATCTGCAATGAACCCATAAATTAATGTATACATGCACTGAATTTCTAAATTTGTGCAAATAGTACTATTGTAAACTTTGTGAAAGGAAATGAGATACAAAGAAATTGGCACATGCATATTACATAAAAAAGAAAAAATGCAAATGAAAATAGAAAACAAAAATATAAAAGAGTGATACATATTTGCTTCGTCTTTATTCTATTATTTTGTTACATGGCTTCATCAGTCGTCTGTCTACAAGCTAGGTACTTGATCGAATAACTTCAAAATCTCATGTAATAATTTTTTTTATAATGAATATCATATCATAGTTTTAGTTTTATCATAATCCTAACCTTAAAAATAAAACCAAAAACGAATTGTTCATAAGCTTGGGCTTGGTAAAAAATGTGTTTAGATCAAGAAATAGCATGCATAAATAATTTTATGAATCTCAGCTATCACTTTTTTCAGGAGTATGTGCAATTTTTTATGTACCGATGTTTCTATACTTAAAATATTATTTTTTATGTACCCCGAAGCAGCAATGTTAACAGAAAATTGTATATTTTCTATGTACCTTGAATTCTTAATCGAAAGCAGCAATGCTAACAGAAAATTGTCTATACTTGCATTTCCTTATATTGTAGTTCACATCTTAAATTTTGAGCTTTCACT